GGTTTGGGGATAACTGGATCGGGGTGGTGTGGGCGGGGGTGTCCATTCACATGGCGTGGCTTGGTGCCATTGGCGGTTGTCGTCCTGTCATGCTGCCGCGCAGGGTCCATCCCTCTCCAACGTTCACCAAGGGCGGCAACAAGAAAGGTAGCGGTCCACGGATGCACACCGCCACACACGTATTTGAGAGGATGCGGGCGTCCTCGTCAAATCCACGACGGGACTCCAGATGCCCGCTTTAGACTCGACACGCCAGCCTTCTCGCCGTCTCGCCTTCACGTTCGCCTGCTCATGCCCCCTGCCCGAGCATCGCTTTCTCCACGAAACGAAGCTAGTCGCGCGCTGCACTCCACCACCCTCGACGATCCTCGCCTTCCAGCGGGGTCGCCGCCTTGCGCGCGCAGTCGACCGCCCTCATCTCGTCGGGAAGCGTGCAGGTGGTTGTCCTCGAGTCTACAACACGACGTCGCCATCGCTGCCACCGTCGTCATCATACCTTTCCGTCTGCAGCACCTCCATCGTCATCTTCGTCACCATCATCGCCATCGTCAACGCAATCGCGGCCGTCATCTTCGTCGCCATCATTGCCATCGTCAGCGCGATCTTGGTCACCATCTTCGCCACGCGCTTCTCTTCTGCATCGCCATCGTCGCCCTCATCGTTGTCGTCGTCTTTTTCGCCAGTGTCTTCAGCGTCGCCATCGTGTTCACCGTGGACTGCGCCATCGTTGCTGCTAACATTGTCGTTATCGCCATCATCACCGTCGTCGTTGTCGTCATCATCGTCGTCGTCGTCGCTCTGGACTGCGCCGCGTGCTTTTCGGCTTCGTGACTGGTCAGTCGGCGAGCGGTTGTGTTGTGCGCCATGTCATTCCGTTGTGCTGGACACGGCAAGACCGCCACCAACCAGGCAATGGAAGCGGCGCTGCAGGAGAAAAAGGGCCGACACAACGCCAACAAGAAGAGGAAGCCCGTCCAAGGCGGACCCTCGGGTGCAGGAAGCACCGCAGGAGACGAATGGGTGGGGGAGGAGGTTGCGCCCTAGGGGGAGAGCGACTTCGAGGAAGAGGAGGAAGCGCCACTGAAGAGGAGGACGCTGAGGTGGACAGGCGGAGGCCTCCGAATCGAAGAGGGGGGATATGAAGCTCCTGCAGAAAGATGACGTGGAGGAGGCCGCGCAGGAGCCGACGACGTCATTGACGTGGAAGCCACGGAGGCATCGAGGGAGGGTGTGGCAGGTGGCGTCGTACAGCCGCATCACGCACTCGTTCCACGTTGTCGGACAGCGGCGCGCCGCGTCAACGTATAGTTGACTCGCCGCGGCCAGCCTCCACGCCATGAGACTGCATATGGTCACGATCAGCAGAATGTTGACACGTTGGTTTGGCCCTTGGGTCGAGTCAGTGGACAAGACAGCGCGACGGTCCAGCCCCATGGAGATCGAACCATGGCTTTTGGGCTGAACCGCCGCGTCTGCGAGGGCCAGATTAGTAGGGCCCGGTCCAAACGGTACTAAAAACGGACCAAGGGTTAGTGAGAAAAATAGAATTGACCACTTGGGACCGGACTCACCGTGTCGGGGAGAGTACGGCCCGAAATGGTCAAGGGGGAATACGGGATTGGGCCTCTTATTAGCGATAAGAGGGGTGTTTTGCTTTCGAGGGCAAGGCCGACCCTTAGTATTCCAAAGTCGGGCCACTTGTAGCCCGACACTAATTTTAGTGCCAGTCTGTGTTATTTTTATCGTAGGTCACGCTATTTTTAGCGCAGGCCTGAGTTATTTTTAGCGCAGGCCTGAGTTATTTTTAGCGCAGGCTAAATATAGCACAGACCCGCGCTATTTTTATCCCAAGCCCCGTGCTAATTTTAGTGCAGCCCCGCGCTAATTTTAGCACAGGCCCGCGCTATATTTAGCGCAGACCCGTGCTATTTATAACTCGGGACTGACTGTTTGTGTCCCAAAGTCGGGAC